CTCATTTTTTTAAAGCTATATTTAGCTTCTGGTCAACAGGACACTTAATGAGAAAACAATAGCAAGTGGCTTTGGTTCTGTTTACTTTCTCCTGGATGCTTCTGAACAACAGCAGGTAACAGAAGCCTCTAACACTTGTATCCGTTTTGTCTACACAAGTGAATGTAATTGCTTTCTTGAGGAAATATATAGGCACCTGATTCTTGCATTCTTCCCTTCTTGCAGTACAAAGAAGCCATTTTGGCATATGCAGTCTTGCTGAAAGAAAACATCCAGGTTTTCCATGATCTTATCATTACTCCTAGAGCACTATGTTCTCCTTGTTAATTGTTCTACTAGTTTCTTTTCAATGATCTTTGATTTGTCTGTATAAATAAAATCTTTTTATAATTTCTTATTATGCATTCTAAGGTTTTCATTTCTTTATAGCTACCGGGAGACAGTGCACTTAATAGAAAGTAACAAGCACAAAATTTCTGATAATTTTATTTTTCTCTGTGCTTCATTTTTTCTACTTGCTCATTTCTTTCCAGATTATTTCACTTCTTAGGATTGATCAATTATATAAACCAACCCACACCACCGCGATAGCCTACGCTTCAAAAAGTAGCAGCTGATTCGGTCTTCCTTTTTTAATTTTTTTCATATTTTTCCTCCATTATATTTAAAGCTGTAGTTTATAGCTTTATCAGTCAAAGCCTCACTACCTAGGGGCATCACCTCTTTTGATATCATCCACTCTTTGCTGTTTGCATTGGAAATAGATTTCTAAGAGTATCACTGTTAAATTGCAATAGCAACAGAAAACAAATAGACCCACTTCCACCTGCACCTTCCATTTTGTATTTCCCACTGTTCTCTTCAGTGCGGTGAAAACATAATCCGTTTGTTGTTTTCCTTTTCAATTAATCCAAGTGTGTGATCCTTGGCAAATCTCGATGGAGGTGCCTAGGTAAGGAAATTTTGGGAATTGGGGCGCTAGTGAGTTAAGAGAGTTAAGCAGGGACTAATCTCATACTCATGAAACCTTAAAGTCTAATGAAGTCTTCTTCCTACTCTTAGTTGGAGCTTGAATTGGATCTAGAATCCCTGAGGGGGTTGCCTGTCCTAAAGGAATGAAAGAAATTAAGAAGAGCTTCCTAATATGGTGGTTTCAAGTGCTGTGATCGCTTCTTGGATAATGCACAATTGCACATATATTAGTGTTCTCTGTTTTATCGCGATTTTGTTTTTCATTCTTGTGATGTCAATATTTTAAAGCCTAATTGAATTTCTGGATTCCATCACTTCCTTTAAATGGCATAGCCGCTAAGGATTTTTACAGAACACCATTATGTGAAAAATGGAAGCATTGCACTTCAGGTGCACTTTGGTTCGATTGATCTTCTTCTCTTCTAGTTACATGATCATTTAGGTGTACATGAATTACACTATGATAGGAGAACATGATGATAGGATGAAGTGTCATGTTATGAATTCGGTTGTCACTTTTAAAAAAATAACGCTTTTTCCCTCTGAAGGTTATGAAGAAAGTTAGCAGACAAAAGTTTTGTTTACACTTGAAGAATATGATAAAGCAGTTAGTAGGTATATTGATGCTTCCCACTTATCACAAGTAATCCAAATGCTTGTAGCTCCTTAGCTTTACATGTGAAAGGCCTTGAAGGTGTAGGCACGGGCTTGTAGTCATCACTTAAGCAAAGATTTCCAGTTGGTTACAAACTTCTGTTGAATTTAACCATCTGAGATCTTGTTAAAAATAATTTGAATGCAGGAAAGTTGTGCTAGAAATATCGGAGCCAGATGTGAGAAGTTTATTTATGATCTATTGGAAGAAAAGGTAACTTGGTGATTTATTTATTTTGTAGTTGTATTTTTGGCGGCATTGCCTTGGAGACCCTTATACTTGTTCCGGTTTGTCATCCCGACCCCTCAACTACACAGTTTTATTTGAACACGTACGTGTTCAGAACTCAGAAGTAGTATTTTAAATCCCTTGGACCATTGACCAAGCTTGTGTGGCATTTGGTTTGCTGAGTTGTATGAAGTGTGCAGTTACACATGCTTAAAAGCCCGTGAAAGTAATATTTTGGCGGAAAAAGTATTAAAATCAGAAACAAATAATAATAAAAGAAAAAGAAAAAGAAAAAGAAGAAATTCCGCAAATCCTCCCATCTTCTTCTTCTTTTTCTCCCCACCACCACTAAACAAGCCTTCCACTTCATTTTTCCTATTCATCCTCTCCTGATTCACAAAGAATTAAAAAGATCACAAATAAAGACAATAGGACAAATCAAAGTGACCGTCACACTGTCAACGTGTATAGATATTGAATGGTGGTTGTGTATTAGCCTCGGTGATGAAAACCCATCCGTTGTGTTCCTCCAACTCTGTGTCGGCCTCCATTACCTTCTATTTTACTCCCTCAGATTACATCCCGAACTCTTCTTTCTTTCCTCAAAAACACTATTTTTTCTTATGTTTGTGGGTGTTGACATTCAAGGCGATGTCAAAAAATGGGTCCAAAATTACGAGTTTGTTCATGGCGAATTCAGTTGATTTGAACCAGTTGGCATTGATTGTTCCTGAGAGTGAAGATTATGGAAGAACGGGGTTGAAGAGAATGGCATATGAATATCTTGAGGAAATGAAGAAGTTATTGGATGTTAACTTGAGTGAATTAGATGCTGAGAATTTGTTGTGTGAACAACTGGAGTATGCTTGTATTGTGTGGATGTCTTTTAACTTGGAATGAGCTTGTTCCTAAGATATTGAACAGATGGGGGAAGAACTAAATGCAGGGGATTTCCTAGAATAAGTTTTAATTTTATTCTTAAAATTTCTTTTCATTCTTTGATATTTTTTTAATTTGGCAAGTGACGTGGATCCGATGTGTCGTTCATGTCAGCGCAAGTGAGGGGCATTCATTCTCGGACAGATTTTGAACAAGTAGAAGTGTTTGAATGAAACTTTGTGTAGTAAAGGGGGATCAGGATGACAAACTGGAACAAGTACAAGGTCTCCCGTATATATTTTTCCATCTTGACACTGATGCATTTATGTGCAGGTTGAAATGCCTGTAGACAAAGCCATAAGTACTTTGGTGAGGCTGGGTATTGTAACGCAGGATTGTTTAAATGGGTACACTGAACTGCAGGCAGTCCCTTGCTTCAAGGCACATGAGATTCTTAAACAACACTGGAATAGCTTGCTTTGCTAAGTTCAACGCATACAAAGTTGTACAATTTTAGCTTCTAGTTCTCAAAGAGTTCAATGAGAGAAGGTTACAGAAAGTTGCTAATCTGTAAAATTAAGTGTATATTTGGCAGTTTGAATGCAGTAAGAGATGGTGTACCTAAACTACAATTAGGAAGAATGAATTGGACCCAAAGAGGCTAATGTCTTTAGAAAATTGATTTTGGCCTGATAATTATGGTTGGATCTGTCATTTACTCAGTTGGCAAGCAATAAGCCAATACTCAATGTGTAAAATTTAATGTGTTGGTATTCTTGTAAATTCTTATTTCATGGTCCTTATTTTGAAGAGTGATAGACATACTGCTGAATTTGAGGTCATATAAACAAAGTTTTTCAAAATTAAGATTTGTAAAATGTTGCGTAAGGCGAAATAACGTATCAAGAAAGAAACTAAATTGGTCGATAGAAAAAAGATTGTACTAGATTCAAATTTGTGTTTTATGATATTTACCTGTTGTTGCTACTTACTATTGGGTTAATGTGATGGATTTCGGGTTATATATGTACCATCGAAACTTAAAATAATTTGGAGCGTAACAGGCATATGGCTTCCTTCTTAGGTGTGTTTGGCATGAAGGAAAATGTTTTCCAAAAAATTCTCATGTTTGGTTGGTTTGAATATTTTGGATAATGTTTTCCAAATCAATTTATTTTTTTCAAATTTAAGGAAAATGACTTGCCTTATAAAGTAAGGAAAATATTTTCCAAAATCTTTTGAACCTCACACCTCAGTTTTCTATACCAACTTAAGTTTCGGGTATTGATTTCCAATGTTAATTCTAAATTCGACTTTTGATTCACGATTCAAGACCCAACTCTTGAGTTCCAAATTGAGTCGAAGCCGGATCTCGAGTTAGGATTAGGTTGAATTTAAGATCGGGTGTTGAGGTCGGGTCCCAAATTAGGTGTTGGGATGGAGTTTTGAGTCAGGTTTTGGATTGAAAGTCGAGGTCGGGTCTTATATCAGGTGTAGAGTTTGGGTTTTGAATTGATCGTCGGGGTCGGATGTCTGGACCGAATGTCGAAGTCGGATCCCGTCTCAAAAGGTGGGTCCGAATTGCAATCGAATTTGGGTGTCAGGATCATATTCCAGTTCGAATGTTGGGTCTGGGGTTGGGAGTCAGGGTTAGGTCCTTGGTTGGGTCTTGGGATTGTGTTTCGATTCAGATCATGATTAGGGTCGGGTCCCAATTCGAATATCGAGTCCCATGTCAGGGGTAAGGTCGCGGATCGGGTGTTGAATCAATTATCAGGGTTGGTTTCCAGGTCAGAAACTATTGTCCTAAAAAGTATTTTCTACTCTCTAGCCAAAAATAAAAGATATTTTCTAAAAAAATCTTTTTCATTCACCAAATCAAACATGAAGAAATAACCAACTTATTTTCCATGCAAAACATTTTCCTTCCTACCAAACACACTCTTAATTGGACTTGGAAAAAGAAATTAGTAGATTCTTCTTTGAGGCAAAAGTTATAGTCCATTCAAGTTGAAATACAATATTTTGGCATGCATAGTCTTTTGGTTGTCTCAAATGTTAAAGAGTAGTGATCAAACATTCCTTCCTTGGCTACCAAAAGTCATATGTATCAATTTGTACATAGAAAAGTGTCAAAAGTGTTTTTGCTTCATGCTCAAGATATACTCATCCTCCTTTTCAAGTCTCATTTTACATTAATAGATCATCTGTCTTAATTTGAGGTAATATATATATAAGTCTTTGTTCTTGATCATTTCACCTAATATTTGCATAGTATGGGACAATCCCTCAAGAAATTTGGTCTATCTTCTTTCTCTCTATGTTGCACACCTCATTTCTTTTCATGTCAATTTTTGTAATATTTTTGCTTTTTTTTTTTGCAGCAAATGGTGAGCAGAGTGATAATATTGGTCCAATAATAGACAATTGCTACATCACTCATTTTAACAACACTAAGAAATGGAGCTTAGCACAATTTTGCCGTGCAGTCTGCCAAACAGTCGAGTAAGTAACACTACATCAAAAATGATCTTTAGCGGCAATTAATTAATGGCAATGACTTAATTGCCACTAAATATGTACTTTTAGCGGCAATTAGCACTCTTTGTATATGTCCTTAAAGCTTTTAGTGACATTAGATCCAATGACAATTAACTAATGTCTGTAAAGGCTTTAACACTCTTTGTTAATGTGTATATTTATTGCCGCTAAAAGGTGTTTTTGTTAAGTGTGATCTTCCATGTTCCATACACTATCATTTCAACATGATTTTTGTTCATGCAAAATGTCTTCAAATGTGTCTGTGCTCCACTTAACTTAGGCCACCTTAAGCTGCTTCAACTTTTGTTTAAACACAACACACAAAATTAAAAAAGAATTTCCTAGTAAGTCAGTTGTGATTTACTATACCAATGAATGTTTCATGTTGTATCCAAAATTATAAGAAGATGTAAGTCCTAATGATACATATGTTGTTCTTCTTGCCCACATGTTAATACAAGTGATGCATGATCTAAACTAGTCCTTGATAGATGCTCTACCTCTACAAAGACAAATCAGTTGTAGAATTCTTCATTTACCAATATTCTGTCATGTCTTTTGAAGAGCCCTCTCATTTCATCAAGTGGAATAACTACCTTTAACTTCACATGAGACATAACCTGGAAAACATCTTCATTATCTCCCTCCAAAGCAATCTGATTAGTGACCTCAGTCTCTTTTATGGTCTCCATGGAATGTGTAACAAAATCATTCAAAACTTTGTTTGAAAAATACTTTTTTAATGTGTCAGCACATATCTTGGCTACCCCTGACTCTAGACTTTCTATGGTATCGTTTACCTCCTCTATTTGTAATGGGCTTAAATGTCCATTATTTTCTGTTATGTTTTCTCCATTCATAAAACCTTATTCATTCGCTCTTTTTACTTCTTTAAATACTAATCCACTCTATAGTTTGAAATAATGACATATTCTCTCACTTATTAGTAATTTCAAATCAGATTTCAAGTCAGATATACCACTCCTTCAAATTTCAAGTCATATACATGTATCTTTGATACCATATATTTTGAAATACAAATTCATAGGGAGATAGACGAGCTAGAGAGGGAGAGCAAGCAAGAGAGTCAACATTGACACTAGTTACATGTAATACATTTTCGAATAAAGATACATAGGGAGAGAGGCAAGCGAGAAAGTCAGTATATCCAAATACATGCGAAATATCACGCTTGGATCGATACAATGTATCTGAAAGAAATTACACTTAATTTGACCCACATGTATTCAAGATACATGCATTTGAGCGCACCAAATATACATATCCGGCGAAGTAAATATGGTACAGAAGATTCATGTCATTAGTGTGAAAAATAAAGATGATTATGGTACAGAAGATTCATGTCTTCGTTCCAAAATTCTTCCTTTTAACTTTCTAGCTTCCTCTTCTTCTTTAGTTGAATTTTTCGATCTTAGTTAAAGATCTTGAGCTAGCAGAAGGTCCCCATTATACTTTTCTTCTGCTATTCTCTTCGATTAGAGCCTACAAATTTAATGACCTTACAATTGTCTGTCATAAGCTATTATAAACCTTATTTATTTTCCGTTTAATCTAATCTCTATCGAAGAATTGAAACAACAAATGAAAAGTAAGTTTAAATCTCTTTTATATTCATGTTATATTGTTTGACAGAGATATCAACAAAGAGCTAGGGTGCACACAGTTAAGGGTGCCAGGGATTGCCACACTCGAGCGGCTGCACCAAGTAAGCATGCAAATGACACTTTTGTCTAACAATTGTGGTTATTCTTTTCACATTAACAATATGTTTTTCCATACGTAAACTAAAATCCTTAGGGAGCAAATCAATATTTAGTAACAAAAATAGTTGTTTACTCTTAAAGGACATGATATAATAGATATTTTAATTCAATTTTCAGGAATATGAGATTTGCAGTGGAAAATCATTGAAAAGGGAAGAGTATCACAAAATGCTTGTTGAAATAATTGGTGAAACAAAAATCACAGGGTTGGGAGCCAAAGACGTATTGTTATACTTGTTTGGAGTCCCATTCATTACATTATTCATCAAGCAAAGTGTTATTCCACAAGCCATCCCTAATTACATCTTTATTCCTGGTGTCACTTCAGCAACTGTTTTTCTTCTAGCCAAACTCCATATGATTTGAATATCTTATTATAAAAATGTTATCTCCACTTCTCTACTTGTCTTTTATTCCATCATCATATTTTAATTGTGAAATATATATGATCATTATATTTGTGTGTATACTTACTATATATATGATCATTTATGGTTTCTAAGCAACTAACATGAACCAACTACTATCCTATCCCAAATTTCAACAATCAACATGCATTCACATTCTCGAGCTCAATCAAAACGACGGGAAGCCATAGCCTACCTCAAAGTAGACCACACGCGCTCTAAAATCATAATTCTGGAGCTTTGAACGCTGCCACGCTATCAAAAATAGAATCACAACGTCAATACGGACAGTTTGACACCAAAAGCACAACAATTGGAGCCGGACCCAAAATCAAGTCAAAAATGAAAATATGGGATTCGTGTCGAGAATTCCAAAATTGACTCTGTCAAAACGCCCAATTGAGTTTAGTGAACTTGTGTCCCAAAATGGGCCACTATTCAAGCTTGAAAATCTGGAAATTTAGCTCATGCAACACAACCCAAAGAAAAACTCCATTAGTGGTCAAAGAGAGGTCAAGGGAGCAAGAACTAATCTCTGAAATGAACCTACAATGCCTTCCCGAGGGTTCCCACACAATGCTTCAACAATTTCCAGCAAGAAATATTAATTCCTCCAGAGAATCGAGCTGAGAAAACTCAAAATCGAACTTAACACAATGGTGAAAAAGACCCCCAAATGGTCTTTAACTAACTGCATGTGCCGCAAAAGCGGTCACTAACGCTTCTTAAGCGGCACCGCAAACACGGCAGGCCACCCAGACTGACCATCTCTTAAGTGATCCCCTGGCCGCTAAAGCGGCAAGCGCTTAAGCGAAGCCAAGGCCACTAAAGCGACTGACCCCTCGCTAGCCAGGTCTGCCACAGTGAAGAGCCGAAGACCACTTAAGTGACACCAGGGCTGCGAAAGCGACTGCACCATGAGGCATCAGAAAATATAGCCAAGTCCCACCGGACTCTGCTTAGGTGCTGGGGATTGGTTGGAAACCCCGTGCACACAAACGAAATATGCTACCACACCAAATTTAGCATTTTGGACTCAACGAGATCTCGATAAAAGTGGGTCACACACCCAAACTCCATTTTATGTCAAATTCCACAAGGGGGCTCAGGATCCGCACCAAGGGTCTTCTAAACCAAACTCGGTGTTTCGAAGCTGACGGAACTGTCATAATTTCATTCTGAAACCATATTCCTAAAATTTTTGACCTCTCGTTCAAGTTTCAGAAGCTTCAAAATACAAAGACTTGCACAAAATCCAAATGAATGACAAGGTAACTAAACGGTCAATTCCAGCAAGTCACAAATGACTTGAAATTGCTATAGGAATGCTCTAAATAATGAAAAGAAGGTAATAACATAGAAATGACCTAGAGGGTCATAATTACACTAACTCAATATTTGTCTCAATTGTTGCAGAAATAATGAAGCTTACAAACCAAGGCTGAAAGCAACAACCCTCCTATTGAAGATGCCAGATTGGGCCTCTATCAGTACATACTACATACAACATGAAATATATCTCCCTCAAGAAATTGGGCATCAACAAATATAAATGACTTGTAAATTCTCTAGATATGAGTAACATGACTACTTTGACTCAAAATGTAATAGTAGACTCGATGGCGATCATGAATACGATTATCAATTCTCAATATGAAGCTTCACAAGTAATTCCTAAGATAAACAAAATATAAGATCGCAACAATATTATATTCCAACAACCAGTTCAATTTCTATGATCTCAATATATCGCAACATAATAAAGGCATACTAACTCTTTGATTTTTATGGGTAGAGCATATAAGGGTATCAATAAACCAAAAGTGTATCGAACTCATTGATTTCAAGAAGTGGATTAATTTCAATCAGTCCATCAAATTAAAAAATGGCAATGAGATCTCTCTACATATTGACCGGCACCACATGTGGCTGTCACGTGTCCACCGCGGCCAATTTTGTCCTATGTGTATTCAATAGTAAAACATACACATATTTTTACTTTAATTTGAAGATATATGTATGAGTGTTTTGATTTTCTGAAAATTAGACTCAATGATATTGAATTTGATATATAGTATGGCCTCTAACTCTATATATACCAAGAGATATTCTTGTTCCAAGTTAGACAATGTTTGAAGGCTCCCGTTTGCTTCTAACTAATTTGGTCTAACACTTGTAGTGATAAGTATTTCTTGATATAATTTCCCATTGAAAACCTTAATCCTATGATATCATACCAATTCATCGACATTTACAAGTTGTAAATATAATTTAAGTTGCGGGGTATTATGGAATGGTGTGTGGTGTTCCACCCACACCCCTTATTTATTCGAGAAATGTTATGTCTTTTCCTTCTTCCTTAACACTTTGTATTTCTCTTTATTCTCTATGGGATTCGACCCAAATGACAAAAAACATCATAAAATCCATCACATGGTTTAAAGATTTACAAAAATTTATAGAAAGTGTGGTAGCATGTACTCTATATATATATATATATATATATATATATATATATATATATATATATATTTAACATATGTAGTACACATACAATAAAAAAATGATGAGTTTGCTTGCCAATCCAAAGGAGATCAAGCAACATCTCATGATCCATACATTTTATTTGAAAAAAGATTACATTTAAATATCGACTCTCCACAAAAATAACAATCCTATAGGGTAGAATCACAAATTATTAAGTAACAAAATAAAATTCATCTACATGAAAAATAGTGAAACAAGAAAAGAGATTCCCATGGAAGCAAAGGCTAAAAATTTTGGAGTTGAAGGAGAAGTTGATGATGATGATGATGAAGGAGCCTTAGCGTCTGAGTGATCGGAAGAAGGAAGAGGGGAAGGAGAAGGAGAAAGAGAAGTAAGTGACTTGAAGCCAATGGTGAAATTGCAAGTCCCTTGAGATGGATCCTTTGTGGTTACTGTTGCCTTGCCTTCAAAATTACAACTATCATCTTTTTGTTGGTTGTTTTGGAAATAGGCATTCACGGCGTATGAGGCCTTGGCAGCGTCATTAAGGCTTTGGCAAGATGATCCATTAGTAAGAGGTGTACAATCTGCGCGGTCACAAGCATATGTCATAAGATAAGTAAAATTTTTAACATCCGGCTTGATCACACACCATTTTTTGGAGAGTTTTTCTACATTTGGCACGGAGACAAGAGTCTTTTTATTTCCATGTAAATCAAGAGGGAACTTTGGCGTTCCATCGTCATAGTAAAGTCCCCAATGTGTCTCAAAGTTTCCTGGGAGTGTGCTCTTCCTATCCTCATCAAATAAGGCAAATAGGTATGCCTCAACATTTCCAGGGCGACGTGGGCTACCTTTTCCTTTAGCAAGATATGATACAAATCCTTTATAAAACTTTTCAGCCAATGTCACATTACCATAATTGTTTCCATCTGTAGGCCATCCCATTTCTCCTACCATAATGGTCATGTTGCCATACCCTGCTCCCGCCAGAGCAGCTGCACAAGTGTCAAGATTGGCATCAAAGCAGTTGGTGTATTCAACACCATCTTTGTCCTTAAGAGGATTGCTCACACCATCAAAGAAGGCATAGTCAAAAGGGAAGGCACCATTTCCATAGAAAAGACTAAGAAAAGGATAAATATTGACCATGAAAGGAGCTTTATTCTTGTTCAACACCTTAAGAATATAGTTGAGTGGATCAATGATGTCAGCGCGAAAAAATCCCCCAGAAGGTACAGGATTCCAGCTTGGTGACAAGTAAACATCAGCATTTAGAGGTACAGTTGCCTTGGTGGTGTCACCAAGTCCAGCATCATTTAGTGCATTTTGGATATTCTCTAATGCTGGCCCTGTAACATTTGTCAATGTATCCTTGTAATCTCTCAAGAATGGCTCATTACCAACACCTACAAGTCTGCACCAATTATAAATACATTATTTATGAATGATGTTTAATGATACACATAACAGATAAATGTGTCCTTTAGCTTCGCCAATTTTGGGTGGACACTTAAACTTGCATCCTAGGTGTATTAGGACATGTTTAATTTTATAGGAATTTAAGTACCTAGTTATGTACATTCAAAGTTGGAGGGTATAGATGTAAGCTGACATCAAGTTAAAAGGCATGTTTATGTATATGACAAATGATGAATCAAAAGGTAAAAAGATGCACTTACGTGATATTAACTCCTTTAGGAGACTTAGGCTCATAGCGTGTGACGTTTTCTTTTACCCATTTCTTGGCAACATCAGGATTGACCAAATCCTTGAGGAGTTGATTAGAGATGCCAATCATGACCTCAATGCCAGTTCCAGCCAAGGCATTCAAGATGGTCTCATCATTATTGAAAAGCTTCACCTTCTTAATGCCATTTTCTTGCAACATTTTGACTACATCTTTAGGAGGCAACTTGTGGGAGGAGATGTCACCCCAGTTAACCCCAAGTCCTTCCACATTATGCCCCAAAAACACCAAGAATGTTACTAGGAAAACATTAACTAAAAGTTTTCCCATTTTACTTTTTTTTGGGGTTTTGTTGTTGTTTTATTTTTTTTTGGGTTTTCCTGCTGGCAGGAGGGAAAGGGGGTATGGATTCTTAGACACCTGCCAATGCAAACAAAAACAATGGAGATGGATTTATAGATGAATACAAAGTGCCTACAATATTATAGAGGCATTGAATTAACCAATCATTACATTAGAGGCCTAATAATGTCAAAGATTAAGGAATGGCTTTGCTTATAATTAGGACAGTTTGAAAACTAGAGAACATAAAAAAATTAATGATAATATTTTTAGTTACTCTAAAAATTACAACCACACATGAGTAGTTTAGTTGTCTTTTAATAAAATATGATATATGATGGCGTTTTAGTGTGGTGATTTTATCCACATGTGTAGTTTTTAATTTCTAATCATTATATTTAAATTATACAACAAATCTTTTACATAGTATCCTTGTACACAATAAGTTATATAAAAGGTTTTGGCACACACTTTAT